ACCACACTTTTCTCGGGCCATTATCTCCGTAACCGTTCAACTTTGGACATAGGTGTTTTGGGTTATATCGGCATACTTTAACATAAGGAACACCCTCCCGAAGTTTGGCACATTCCTCCTGGGACACCCTGTATATGGAAATTGTAGTGAATGATGTCTGATTTTTGGGACTGGTCTACAAATTAAATTCTAGGTTGGTAGAAATCATTTACTTACAGGATTTATTTTAATGGCATCATAATTTTATTTCACTGTGATGTATCTTTATATACACACACATGCACGCGCACACGCACAGCACCCCTGAATTATGGACATTTGGGTTGCAGAATTTTGCCCTTATAAAAAAAAAACATAAAGGTATCCCTGTAACAGGCCGTGGAGGCCCATAGGGTTGTAAGATGTTGAGGTTCCCCACATAGATGGCAGTAAGGTTGTCAACCTTATGTGCTGGCCCCCCTTGACCCGCAAGAATATTCCAAGAATATTCCTTATACTCATTTCTGTTAGAGGCTGAGTCGACCCCATGGCCACAGTGTGGCTGAAAGGATTAGGTAAATTGAAAAAATCCACCTCATTGGGATTCGATCCCACGACCTTCCAGCTTGTAGTATAGTGCCTCAACCAACTATGCTACCACGCGTCCTTTTGGAAATCATAAAACATGGCCTTGACTTTCCTTATTTAGGTTGTTTAGGTACACATAAAATTTCTTGTAAACAGTAACTGGAAGACAATAACAGATTGACTTGGTGACGTAGCAGGGTATGTACCTGGCCACTGGTGAGCTTGTATGCATGCATCTGTGATGCAAGGGGATGGCTGGTAGCATTGGTGCTATTCCTACGCAGTGAGTAAATTATGCTTCTTATCACAACAGAGGACTGAAAAGTTTCTATATGAAAGCATCTCCACTTATAACATGAAAGTTGGTGGAATTTCACCAGTGCAGATACGTTTCCAAGAACACATTCCTTCCATAATACAGGGACATGTTGTAGTTTCAAACTTTATTTCTTTAAGTTCCCTCTGATGACCCTATAAACCAATGATCTCGTATGCTTTACATGTTCAGGCTGTGATGACATAATTCGACAGCACAAGGCAGCATGTCTTCGTGTGACATCACTTCTTGCCTGCAAGGATCTGCTCTGGATTGGTACGAGCGCTGGAGTTATTCTGACAATGCCACTGCCCCACATTGCTCCTACCACAACCAAGCTGTCCAGTGTACCCAGTGCTACAGGTAACATAAAATATTATCACATATTTAATTATTGGACAAAGGGTTTGGGTTGGTAATTGGATTCATTGAATATTTACAGCTTGTAACTACAAGTACTTACAATACTATGGCTAATTCACACACTCCACAATTCACTATAACACACACTAATTCTTCTCAGTCTGTTTTCACTAGGTGTTGCCTGGTAACAGATCCCAACAGTGTCTTCTACTCACATTGTTACCGGCTGCTGGCTGTCTCATATCTAATTTATGGCCCCAAGTATATCTTCTTGGTTGGTCTGTTGCTTAAATTTCTGTTGGATTCGCCAGCACAGTCATTCCTGGCTTCCCTCTCCTTGAGATCATGACCAAGATTTTTTTTCTCCTAGACATATATGTGTTTAGAAATGGGACCCTCTCTTTGACCAAAGGAAGGAGTCAGTCTTTCTGTGGAGGCGCTATGTCTGTTGCACTGTAGTTTCAGTATGAGTACATCTTTGCAATTACAGCATCCAGGTCACAATGAACTCTGTGTATCCTTTATCAGTGCACTATACTATGTAACATATATACAAGATATACAGATGATTCTGTCAATGCAGGCTGTATAACTTCTGAACTAATGTATATATTTTCAAGAAACTTTGTGGGAACACGGTGTGCACCTCACTTGAGACTGTATCATAAATAAGGGAATTCTTATTCTAACTGCATAAAATGGCCAGGATGTGAAGCTGACCATTCACCATCATCTAATGCCAAGGTTAAGAATATGTGGAGCTGTATCTGTACCTTACCCTAAATAATACTGTGATGCTATACAAATGTTTGAGGTGGGAACTCTAGTAGTGCTATTTAATGGTGACAGTGTAAATCTGTCTTGAAAATGTTGCGGTCTAGGCTTATTAACAAATTGTGTACAGAAATATACAGCTAAATTACATAATTACTAATTTATAATTCTTGTATTTTCTGTATGTGGACGGACACTTATAAATGGGTCGTAAGTTTTCAGAATTTCTCATTGTTTAAGTAATTGCAAACCAATTATTACTTTACAATTATTGACTTTTTGAACATTATCCATCATCCTGTTTTGCATTTAAAATCAGCGTTTTGGAGACTCAACTCTGCCTTCATCCTCAGGTAGAACCTACCCAGTTAGGCCCGATTGGTAGAGCTAGTTCCTATCTCTGGACAGAGACAGAATTCAGTTTCCAAAACGTTGTTTTTAAATACAAAACAGGATGATGGATAATATCCAAAAAGTCAATAATCATATTAGTATACTGTCATCAGAAATTTTTAAGTTATTATGTTATTGTGACAACATTTCAGTTAACTGATCGGGTAATGATTATCAGTTAAAATTTGACATCTAGAATGATTTGTACTCTAGGGGTTCCTCATGGACA